TGGCGTGTATCCCCTACACAGGTAGTAAAAGAGCCATTTTGCAAGAGTTTGTAGAGCTGAGGAGCACATAGAGTTGAGTGATGGAGGATTTGTATAAACTGGCTGAAAGGATTGCTGCTGCTGAAGTGTTATGCTTCATTTACATAAAATTAACAGAGCCAGGTGCAGTATTGCAAGACTTTGGTAAGCAACCTGGGCACGAAATACACTTGTGACATACGTCAGAAGCAACTCAGCCTGAACAAGTTCAGCCGAGGGCAGAATGTGGCCCTGAGAGAAGTGCAGGTTCATTAGTGATTTGACAAGTCAGTGAGCAGGCAGCCAACGTACAAGAGCTGCAGCAAGGAGCACACAGGGTTTGGGTATTTAAAGCAAGAGACAGACAACCCTGCAAGGTGCAAGAGTAAAAAGAAAACACATCGGCACCAGGCCAAAACACAGACTGTTTATTGCTTGAATTCCTTAATGAATAAATTAAGCCACCAACCATTTAAAAGCCTCTTTGGATTATAGGAACTTTAATAAAAGGCATGGACAAAATGAAGATGAATATTTAAATGCCTGCTGATCACTTCATCTCTTCTGTAGATGTGAAGTGGCCAGAAAGACACTTCAAAGGCAAGGTAACCTGCCACGGGGCAGGAACCATCAGGTGCATCCACTGTGGTTATACTCTCCAGCTGGATGATAACAGATCAGATTTGACACTGTTCTGTGTGTTTGTATATACACACACTGCTACCTGTCCTACAGGCATGTGGACCCCAAGTGTGGGGCACAAAATGCCATCTCCTGAGGTCAGGGTGACGGAAGAGCACAGGAGATGCTGACACACGGGTTCACCTCCAGCACCTTTGGGGACGTGGTAACGCTGCATCAAAGCCAACAGCCTTTCCGTGGCTGGGCACGAGGAGAGTCTCACAGCGATGGAATGGAACAGAGAACGTACCGATGACATGGGGGTTGGAACTAGATGAGCTTAAGGTCCCTCCCAACCCAAACCACTCTGGGACTCTGTGATAACACAGGCATCGCAAAGGCATCTTGTTCTATAAATAAAAAAGGGACAAAGTGGTGTCCACCCCCACCTAACACCTTCCACCTCCCCATTAAAGGGATTAAGAAATCCTTTTCCAAAGATCCCAAGAAGTCTGCAAGGGGGTCTGTGGGCTACAGAAGACCAAAACCTAAGTAGTCAGGAGATCAAGCCATAGATGCGCAAACACAACTCTGCTTTTCTGCTGTGTCCCCTACAAAAGGTCTTGGGACAATTTCAATGCTGAAGTTGCTCCCCTCTCTCTTGACAGAGACACTGGAGGAACCAGGTCAAACAGCAGTGTCAGTAGACATGGTTATGGAGCAAATACTTGAGTGTTCATACACTTGTAAATAAAGTATTCATCTTGTAATGAAGGAGGACAATCATCAGGTCCAGCAATACTCATCTGGAGGCTCTCAAGCTGAAATAGCTCTACTGTGAAGGACATCTCTTGAATAAACCTCTGTCAGTGGCAGAGGAACAGAAGGCAGCAAATGGAATGATTTTTTTAGGAGGTTTCAAAGGAGATCCAGGTAATTTCAGAACATTGAATTTGACAATTACACGGTGCTATCAGCAACTGCTCTAAACAACAGAGAGTGGGCACACAAACACAGCCCAAGTGGTTAGGGAAGGCACTCACAAGAGGTACAAGAATTACAGAAGGCATAGAAGAGCTTTGAAATGAGGGATAATGAAACAGGCAAAGCCTCTGCAGTCAAGAAAGAGATGACTAAGCGTAGACAGAAGCCTGTACATTTACAAACAGCACGAAGAAAGCCAGTGGGGAAAAAAACTTCTTCACCATCATTTATTACAACCAGGGGCATCAAATGAAGCAAAGAGGCAATGCTGCAAAAATGAGGAGGTTCTTCCCAGTTCAGCTGTGAACTCTGCACAGGATGATGGAGATGCCAGGGGTTTATAATGGTCAGAAGAATAACTAACACAGGCTTAAATGAGAAAAATCTGTCAGGGACTGTTCAGCAGATAACACCTCTGCTGCTGGAGCTCCCTGAGCTGCAAATCACTCATGGTTTGGAGCTTACAGGAAAGATCTTTAGGCTACAGGACTGCTCCATTCATCTCCTATGCCCTGGCAATTAGCCACCACCAGACTGCTGTCCTAACTCAACAGGGCCCTTCTGTGCCATGCCCTCCATAAAATGTGGTACCCTGCAAGCTTATCTGCAGCACTGTGCATTTAATATCCATCTTCTGTGACATTCTGCTATTACCTAAGCCCAACCTCTCTTTCACCAAGCTTTTACCTGTGGATAATTGATACAATTCTGAAGCATAAGCTGAACAATGAAGCATAACTTCATGATGGACAGCACAACACATTGTGGGAATGTGGTGAGGATTTTTTAAACACACACACAGACTCAAAAGAACTCTTTAAAATTCTGCTTACATCCCAGTTTGTAACTGATACAAACTGACACAAGCATCCTAATAACCCCGAACAGAACCTAGTATAAATCATACCCATCATGATTTGATCCAGAGAGTTGTTTAGACTTTTAGCAGATGAATTGGAGTTGTGGCATTTATATGGAAAACATTTATCAAAGTTCAAACAAATAATATTTAAACCAGTATTTATTGCTTTAATATTCTCCCTACATCTCTTCAACAACACAGCACATACAAATAACTGCTGGATGCATTTGAGCATCTGCAGGAGTCTCAAACCACAGCCCTGCCATGATGCCATGGCAGTGGCAAGCACACGCTCGAGCTAAGCTCACCCCTGAGTCAGCCTGCCACTGCCCCAGAAAAGCAGCATTCCCTGCTTACTGCCAAGCTCTTGACACAAATCAGAGCAACCCAGCAGTGGGACACCATAATCCTCAGCAGCACAGTACCCATCTCCTCCAATCACCTATAAAGGATGCAGACCACTCGGTTCCAGTGGCTTGACCCACAGACTAACAGCTTTTGCTCTTTAAAATGTTTTGTACACTTGTGGGCAAACTCCAAGTGGAGCCGTGAACACAATTCCCTCTAGATATATTTCCCCAGAAACAGGTTCCTCACAGCTATGCAATTTCAACTACTGCTGCAACAAGGAGCACGCAGACAGATACAAACACCCAGGACGTTCAATTGCCTAAGAAGTTTATGCTACCTCATTGCAAAGAACAATTGTATTCAGAACCCAGGGAGCCACAATATAACTTGTATGATAACACAGGTATCTCACTGTAAAAACACTACTTTGGGTGGCTGTTTTTCTTTTAAATAATAAAAAAAAGATTATTTTTTTTTATTCAGGACCTTAACTTTTCATCTCCATTTTCTAGCTATGCAGACCTGCTACTTCTGACTCGACACATCTGCCTGTGAAATCTCTCTTTACATCTGGAGGTTTTATGTCATCTGAGATGCTTAAGCCTGTTTGCACCAGGAAAATTAGCCCCTCAGTTGGTAGAGGTAATCTGTGACTGGTATTGCAGACAGAATTTATGTGATTGTATCACTGTGTCCTCTGACTAGAGCAGAATTAGAGGTTGTGGAAAGAAAAACATCCCCCTTATTTCTAGGTCACTGCAGCTAATAGTGGGTCTTTATCAGTGATGCTGATAAAACAGATCATCTTGGCAAGCTCTCTGCCAAATGGAATTATTAATCTATTATAATGATCTAATCGTCTTTAAAAACTTTACTAAAGCTGACATGGTTAAAAATACTGACAGAACATTTTCAGTAAGAACAGTTTTATTTTAATTAACTTGTCTGACCATGGTTTGAGATTCATTTTCATTTATGTAAGAAGAGTTTAAGGTGAATTGAGGGATCATCTTTTTCACTAGTGCACAATTAGAACATAAACATGCTCTGTGTTGCCCAGTGTTACTGGTGAGGTCTGTCTGCAGTAGCTAGGTGGTAATTCAGCACTAGTTCAGCTAGCAGTTCAAAAGCTTGAGACATAAAGTGTTGTCTCCTCACGCCAAGATCTCCTGCTCTATTTTCACACATTGCTCGGGAGAAGATGACACTTACCAGGTGAAATGTCCCAACACCACCCCTTCCAAAAACCCGAGAAGACTCCAGAGCATGTGTAGCAACCACCCATTTCCAAGTATGAGCTCAGTTATGAGAATGATCATTCCTGAGATCGAACCCCTGGTTACCTGACACAGCCAAGAAGTCATCAATGGAAGTGATGTCATCGACAGCATCCGTCAGCACACGGACTTGCTTCTCCCACTGCTCTTTGAAGAGATCCATGTTCTCCTGAGCCAGTTTGCTTTGGGGTTTAGCAGCCAGAGCCAGCGCAGCATTAATGACCTGTAAAACACCTCTGCGTATTTAAAACATATCCTTAACAAAACAATTCGTTTCCATATGTTTATCCAATGAACTCAGCAGCAAACAAAACAAGCTTAATAAGTCTTCAGGAACTTGATGTTTAAACACAAAAGTGGTCTATTCTGTTGTTCTCACATCCAACTCATGCCTGCTTCACATTTATTATGGTTAGTTACTAGGAGCAAAAACACTTGGCAAGTATTCACAAGAGCTAGCTTCACCTTTCTTTAACAGCTCATGTTAAAAAGGTGTTGCTTTCCGAGCATAGGTTGGGCTGTTAAGCATTTTAGACAGGATGACACTGGAGGCTGCATTTCCTAAGCTACTTGGCAGAACCTGAGAAAAAAAGGTCAAGAAAGGATTACTCTCACAAAGCCTGAATTAGAAACAATATGCAAATACAAAATTAAAGAGAAATTTTGTATTTATCTTCTTTTCCTTAAATCTTTACTCTGTAACTTGCTAATAATTGTTATCGTAGACTCACAGAATGGTTTGGGTTGAAGAAACATCAAAGCTCATCCAGTTCCAACCCCCTGCCACGGGCAGGGACACCTTCCACTAGAGCAGGTTGCTCCAAGCCCCTGTGTCCAACCTGGCCTGGAACACTGCCAGGGATGGGGCAGCCACAGCTTCTCTGGGCACCCTGTGCCAGCGCCTCAGGACTCTCACAGGGAAGAGCTTCTGCCTCAGAGCTCATCTCAATCTTCCCTCTGGCAGGTTAAAGTCATTCCCCTTGTCCTGTCCCTACAGGCCCTTGTCCAAAGCCACTCTCCAGGTTTCTTATCAGCCCCCTTTAGGTATTGGAAGACTGTTACAAGGTCTCCCTGGAGCCTTCTCTTCTCCAGGCTGAACAAGCCCAACATTATTATTATGTTAAGATTTCTATTATGTGGAAGAGCCAGATTAGCCAGGGAACAGGAGGAGAGGATACAATTTGATGCTCCTCCTGAACAACCCCTACTAATTTTCTTCAAACCCTAACACTGTAATTTACTCCAGATCCTTGTTTTTCTAAGCAGAACAAATGCTACACATACTGCTGGGTAACAAAGGTGACACTGTGCCAACTAACCAGTTAGTTAAATGACCAAAAAGGCCCCTTTGGTTGTGGGAAGAAAGCAAATCTCAAAAGCCTGCTCCTGTTCTTGCTGCATTGTGCTCCAGTAGAATGACCTAGAAACATGCCAGATGTGAGAATCCATCTGCAATCAGACCAATACAACAATCCTAACTTTGTTTTCAAGCACCTGAGAGCTAGAGCTAATTAACTTACAAGTTCAATGTATAATTTTTCTTCTCTACTTTAGGACTGTATTAATTTCACAAACTTGCCAGACAAAACATGCAAGCACCAGATGTTCCTCATTTTCCAAAATCCACTTTCTCTACCTGCTTCATTTAAAAGTGTCACAAAGCATTGAAAAAAATATGTAACTCACTAAACATGGAAATGATGGTGATGTCAAACATACCACGATGGCACTTAATTAATCAGGCAGAAGAGAATGATGCACTCAAGGGATGCTAGAAGTCAGCAGTGACTGAGGAAAATCCCCAGAAAAGCTCTGCTGCTCTCCATTCTTCCATCCTGCCTCTGGAGATGGAGGCTGTGAGTCTGGGTCACAAATCAAAATAAGCTCGATGGGTTTGATAACATTGACAAATGTGAGAAACAATCTGGTATGAGGGACAATCTGTTCAGGGAACACGTGGGATGAAACATGCCTTTGAAGTCCCCATTCCTCACGAAGAATGTGGGGTCCTCTGCTGCCTCCCCTTCTTCAGAGCAGCCACTGAAGTCCCACCTTCTTGTGTAGGCAGCTGCAGTGATCAGGATGTCCCTTCAGAAAGAGACCTGCTGCCAGCTATGGTGCATGCTGCTCTGCTACCCTCACTCCCACTACCCATTAAGATCATGGTTCTCAAGCCCCCCAAAAACCTTGCAACATCCAAGAGATGATGTTTAAACATTTAAAATCAAACAGAAATAGAGGCTTTAGAAAGGGAAACCTTTCCTCTGCTCAAGAGCTCTGATTCTTATATCTAATCCCTGCCATTTCCTGCCCCAGTCTGACTGATGTAGTGAGTTAACCACCTGTCAATCAAAATCCAGATATTGAAAGCTTTATATCAAGATGAATCCAAATAACAAGTGTCCTGGAAACAAAAAGGGTAAACCTGTCAATGCGCCAGAAATCTGCTCTCAGCTTTTACCCTGCTAGTAACTGTAACTACTGAGGCAGAGAAGATGGTGATACCAAGTCAGGACATTGTCTCCTGCTCTCTTCTAGCTGCCCGGTCTAATATCAGATATGAAAGCATCTCTTCAGCACTGAGACAGGTCAGCATTAATGCTGGAGAAACATATGGCCTGTGTACCTGTGTGATGTATGCCTGGACAGCAGCATCTGTCCGAACAATTAATCTATGTCAGCAGCACATATCCAACCCCAGACGCCCACTTTAAGCAACTCTTCACACGTAATGGAAGAGCTGTCATAGACAGAGGGCTCTGCAAGTGCTCAAGAAACTCAAACAGGGCATCATCACCAAATCCAAATGCAGGAGGCACAAGCTGCACCACTGTCCTCCCTCCAGGCAGCTTGGCAAGTGAAAAAGGGAATTTTTTATACAGCAGCAAAAAATGCATGGCCAAGGCAAATTTAAGAAATGGCCAAGCAAAACGAGCGTGTAAGATCCCCCTTACACACAGACATGTCTGGCATTTGGTAAGCAGCCAGCAGCACTAGAGATGAGGACAACCTGGTGAGGAAATCGAAGGCTATCAAGTATCACTGCAGAGCAAAAGACAAAACTACAGCTCAGGAAACCCATACAGGTATGTTTGTTCTCAGGAGGAAATTCAAGACAGCAGGTTCAGCTCCATGGTCCTTTATCACAGCACATACTGTATCTCTGTGTGCAAAGTGATCACAATATTCAGGTTTAGCAAGGGTGACAAAACCCTTCACCCCATGTACAGCTTAGTATTTACATGGGTGAGTTATCCCAGACATGTCTCACACATCTGCTTGAAGAAATGTCCCAGGGATTACTGACAAAACCCTGTAAATTATCTGTTTGAGTAAATATACTCCTACATGATGCCCTGTATCCAGTAGAGTGACTGGTGCATTTCCTGGCAGATGCTTAGACACACAAGGCAAAATGACATGGATGCTCTGCTCTGGAGAGACCCCCCCTGCAGCCCTGATCCAGCTCTGAGGCAGTAGCACAAGAGGGACGTGGAGCTGCTGGAACGAGTCCAGAGGATGCCACGGAGCTGCTGCGAGGGCTGGAGCAGCTCTGCTCTGGAGCCAGGCTGAGAGAGCTGGGCTGGGTCAGCTGGAGAAGAGAAGGCTCCTGAAGGGGACACCTTAGAGCAGCTCCAGTGCCTAATGGGGACTAAAATGAACACCTGACGGAGGGGGAAGGGACTGATTAAAGTATAATATTGCTATCCAAAAAACATGATGTGTTGGGCGTTTAAAATATGAGTAACTTACAGGAAGGATATATATATATCCTATTTCCTAGATATCCTCCTATTTCAATTAATAGGAAGAACAAGTCCAGACTACCTGCAATGTAGCCAATTCCATGTAAAACATTTGGTACTTTCAAGGAAATATTCTGCCTTTCAGAGCTTCTCAAAATGCTGCCAGAGCACTGTGATCACAATGACTCACTGAAGTTGTACAAAGAAAAGAATCAAATAGGGACATTTTGAGACTATCCAGAAGGAAATGAAGCGTGGCAAGAAAACACACTATTTTTATCGGCACTTTGTTTCATGTAGCAATTGCAACGTTCAACTCAGGCAGCCCAGTGCTCACCCAGGTGGTTCCAGAGAGTTGCTTGGAGTAGCTCACCTCTACCTCACAGCTTCCCACACCAGCAGCCAGGACTCAGCAACACAGGACCCGAAATGGGGGAGGCTTAGAGTTCAAAGACCTGCAACGTATGTTTCAATCTGCACCTCAAATCCTCTTCTCAATTCTTTCATGGGAAGAAACTGCTTGGTGGGGTCTCCATTTTAATTATTGTGATTATTTATTTAATTCTATCCAATTTTCTCTATTGAAACTTAAGATGTGACACTGAATTTATGTATTAATACCTCTGTAGAACAAACAAGAGTGACTTCAAAAGCTCTCTTAAAAAGCACAGCTATTCCAGGAGAGAAAACACTATAACCTCAGATATACTTGTGGGTACATTAAAGCCACTGGGTCACCCAGAATTCATGTTTTTAGGCTTAATTTAGGATGGTTTGCAAGCTCACCTTTATAGCATCCCATCTAAGAACTGAGAGAGGCTGGGAGAAAGGTCTTACACTTGGCGGTGTTCCTACAAACACCACTTTTGAACACTTGTCTGGCATGGCTGAAGGAAGAAACATGGCAGAAGAAAACTACCACTTATTCATGTTGTACTGCAATCCCTAGCTGTTGCGCCTTCAGATAGTCTCAGTGCACCCAGTGTCTGTAAGCCACATAACACTCCATCTCAATGCCTATGAGCACTTCTAGGGTTTTGACTCAGCCTTTCAGATAGGGACTTTTTGCTCTTTCCAGGAGACAGTTCTCTCTGCAGCTGGTTTAACTTTGCCCTGTTTCCTGTAGTACTGGTTTTAGGATGCTACTCTGACACAATAAGGAGTTTATCAGTTGCAAAAGTCCATAAACAACACACCTGTCCTCACCTTTTCTTTACAACTAGAATACCTGTGGTTCCTAAATAAGTCACTTGTTTTTTGTTTTTAAACAAAGATTTTGATTACCAGCTTCGTTGTAGCATTTGGGTAATGAGTTGGAAAGTAGCTCCATAGCTTTCAAATCCAGGACACTTTGCATTTGTAAGTGAAATAAATAAGCTAATAAAATGAGCACCCATCCATCAGCTATCATCTCAGGGGCAAACTAAGCCTCAGCTGGGATGTAAAAATTGGTTTTGTTCTGGAATATGTGAAAGGG